AAAATATAAACCCGATAGAAACATTATATCATATCTTTATTTTCTTTATATTTAATTTATTTGCTATGTTTTATGTCTTATTACAATAATTTATGCTTATATTCATGTTCATGATATAAAATACGAATTTAGAGTAATTGTGCATAAACGTTAGAGAATTCTAAGATGATTAACTTTGACCTTCTTAGCTTATTGTAGGTCTTCCAAAGCCTTAGATTTAGATTTGAAAGAAGTTGTCTTCGAGTCTTTGTAGAGAACATATCAAGCTTTCCATAATGATATAGTGAATTAAGATCTAAGTTTATTTATGTCCGTGTCCTCAAATAATATTTTATATTCTAATCTAGAAAGTCGATCCGAATCCTATCGGAGTTTAGGTTAGTTGAATTCATATATGAAGTTTTAGAATCTAATTGATGCAAGAAAATTCCCATAGAATACTTAAGAAGCAAACCTATAATTCTTATGAAGGGCCTAAGTCCAAACGTCCGATAAAGGAATTTAGTTGCGAAGTTGGAATCCTAATGTTGGGTAGATAGGTTGAGTTGATGGTAGTATTTAGCCCCTAACTAAAACTCGTGGATCTCCAATTGATATGATAATTAATGATTTAGAAATATATGATACGGAGCTATAAAGTTTTTGAATAAATAACACTATAATTTGGCATTTATCAAGTTTATTCAAGCTAATTACTTAAAAGAACACACACGACTATGAGAAGAAGTTTATGCCCATGTGTTAAGAAGCAATAAAAGGCACACAATCATGTGTCTAACTCTAGCTCAAGTTTCTACCCATACGTCATAACACATATAACCATGTGTGTTATTTTCCGACCTTGCACGTTATTTAACCTTTTGTCTATATATATTTAGGTTTGAGGGGAGATGGTAGAGAGCTAGTAGAACTTAATTTTATTTTTTTACACTCTTCATCGACATGTACGATTAAGTTTCTTCCTTTTAGTTTAAGGGATTTTGAAGCCCAAATTTATATCCTTTGTGTAATCAATTATCAAGAATGTTGTTCTTATCTTTGTTTTTATCGAATTAAGTATGTTATTATGTATTATTGGTTTCTGATTTCTATTTGAATGATTTAGTAAAGGCCTACTAAGTTATTTAGATTAAAGATAATGAGTTAGATTTAGAGATTTTGATATGTAATTGTCTAATTTCTAATCAATAAGTAACGAATGGTAATAGATGATTAAGGATAAGTTTTCATTCTGTTATTGTGAATAACATACCCTAAGCTAAATGATTTGAACTTGTGTGAATGTTGCTTAGATTGATCTGTTTTTCCTCTTTCTTAAGGTTACCTTGAATTAAACCTAGAGTGCTTATTCTAGGTTGTTCATAGTGAAGATTTTTTGATAATATTTTTCTTATTCATAAAAATAATTACATTTGTATTTAAAGGAGAATACAAACCCTAATGACCCATATAAAATAGGAAACTAACTAATCAAATAGGAAGCTAACTAATAAGGGAAAAACTCCTAAAATTAAGGTCCTAAAAATATACAATCTGTCGTAATCAACACTCCCCCTCAAGTTGGTGAGTGGATGTCTTCCATTCCTAGCTTGCTAGTGATTTCTTGAAACCTCGAAGTAGCCAATCCCTTGATTAGAATATCCGGCAATTGATTTCCCAATGCCACATGAGGAATGGTAATAAGTCCACTATCAATCTTCTCTTTGATGAAGTGCCTATCCACCTCCACATGTCTTGTTTGATCATGTTGAACCGAGTTATGAGCGATACCGATGGCTAATTTGTTGTCATAATATAATTTCATTAATCTACTTCCTTCAACCATTAAATCTTTTAGATTATTCTAATCCAAAGAAGTTCACAAACACCAAGAACCATAACACGAAATTCTACCTCCGCACTTGATATGGCTACAACATTCCGTTTCTTGCTCCTTTAAGTAAACAAGTTTTCTCCTATGAAAGTGCAATAACCTGTGGTTAACCTTCTATCTATAAAGGATCCCGTATAGTCAGCATCGGTTAGGCTTCTATAATTAGATTGCTTCCCCTTTTGACCAAAATGCCATTTCCCGGAGTTGCCTTTCAGCATTGAAGAATCCTCCGAACTCGCATGTAAATGCTCTTCCTTAGGATTATGCATGAATTGAATAACTACACTTACAGCATAGGCAATATTAGGTCCGGTATGTGAGAGATAAATTAGTCTCCCTACTAGCCTCTAATAGTGTCCTTTATCAATAGTTGCTCCATCCTTGCTTTCTTGGCCCATTTGATGATTTGGATTAATAGGAGTGCTCAAAGGTTTGTACCCAAGATTACTAGTTTCTTTGAGTAGATCAAGAATGTACTTCCATTGGCTTATAAGTATCCTTTGTTTGGAGTAAACCACTTCAATCCTAAAGAAGTACTTTAGCCTACCAAGCTCTTTAATTTCAAATTCTCGAGCCAATTATGTTCCTAGTTTCATCTTCTCTTCTTCATCACTCCCATTAACTATGATATCATCCATATACATAAATAAGACTGTAATCTTTCCCACACATAAGTGTTTTATAAATAAAGTGTGATCACCATGACTCTACCTATAACCAAACTTCATCGTGGCCTTGGTAAACCTCCCAAATTAAGCTCTTGGTGATTGTTTTAGCCCATACAAGGCTTTCTTCAGTTTGCAAACTTTATTAAGACCAAAATTGTCATCAAACCCAGTGTGGTAGTTCCATATACACTTCTTCGTTTAAGTCCCCATGAAGAAATGCTTTTTTATATCATACTCGTTGAATATCCCATTCAAAATGAACTGCTAGAGATAAAAGAATTCTCAATATGTTCATCTTTGTTATTGGTGTAAAGGTTTCTTGGTAGTCCATCCCATAAGTCTATGTATAGCCTTTTGCAACTAATCTTACCTTATACCTTTCAATTGTTCCATCAACCTTGAATTTCACGGTATAGACCCATTTACGACCAACTGCCCTTTTCTCTTTGGGACGTGTAACAATATCTCAAGTCTCATTTTTTTCCAAGGCCCTCATCTCCTTCTTCATCGTATGTGTCTAATCCCTATCTTTTAAGGTATCATATACTTGTTTTGGGTATTTTGATTGAGTTTAAAGTGGAGAGAAAACTTTTATGTTGGGAGGATAGGCTATGTGAAGAGATAAAGTTTGTTATGGGATGTTGAGTACACTTTTGTGTTCCTTTTCTCGGGGAAATGGGAAGGTCAAGATCACAATTTAGATGGTCATCACAAGAGACAATATTGTTAGTTTCAAAAATTGACAAGTTCAAAGTGTTTTCATTACCTATGCTCGATGTTGGCTCTTGTACCTGTTTTGATACTTGTGAGGGATGTACTCTTCTTAAATAATATTATAGTGGCTTCAATAAAGGGGCTGGATTTTGTTTTTTAGATGTGGGATTGCAATTTTGGCAATTTCTACGGATTCAAGAATCTGCAATAATTTTTATAGATTCGGATTTGGCATTGTGCTCAATGTTTTCTAGTATAACATCTGTGGAGTTTGGTGAGGGAGATGATGATGGATTCTCAATGAGGTTTGTACCTATGTCTAAAAAGGATATGGAACATGAGAACATAACTTCTTTTCTAGAATGCTCCCCCGAAGATGAGTGGGAGGGAATTTATAGAAAGGCTCGGACTTATGGAATGTGACATCAAGAGATATAATGGTTTGTCGATCTGGAAGGTTCATAGCACTTGTAACCTTCTTTTGTGGAGGAATAGCCAATAAAAATGTACCTTTTTGCTTGGGGTTCTAATTTAGATCCGTAATATTTATCGATATGTAAGAAAGCAACACACCCGAAAATTTTTGGGGAAGACTCGATTAGAAATAACATATGAGAAGTGTTTAGACAGTAGGTTGATGAGACTCGTGATTTTCTAAGATTCTAGAGGGCATATGATTTATGAGATAAGTTGCAGTTAGAACCGCTTCACCCCATAGAAATTTAGAAGCACTGGATTGAAATAGAAGAGCATGAGTGACTTCTAGGAGGTGATGATTTTTTCTTTCGGCAACCCCATTCCGTAGGGGTGTTTCAACACATGAGGATTCATGAATAAAACCCTTTTTTTTAAAGAAGGAAGAAAGACATTGATTGAAATAGTCTCTACCATTATCCGATCAAAACTTTTTTATTTTTATACCAAATTGAGTGAAAATGATTTTTGAAATTGGAAAAGTAATGAGCTAACTTCGATTTGTCCTTTAGTAAAAACAACCGGGTAGTACGAGTGCAATTATCGATAAAAGTTATGAACCATCTTGCCCTATGAATATCATGAGTTGTTGAAGGCCCCCATATATTAGAATATATCAAAGAAAAAGGTTGGCTGCATTTTATTGATTTTATTGGAAATGAAGTATGATAATGTTTTGCAAATTGACAAACTTCACATTGAAAATCTAAAACAACTACATCTCTAAACAAAGAAGGAAACATCTATTTTAGCAAAGGAAAGGGTGGATGACCTAGTCAAAGGTGGTGTGCCCGCATTGTATTCTTGGTTGATGTAGTTAAAAGGACTTAAGATGGGATGGATTGATTTCCCTTTATTTGATCGCCTTCTAGGTCCTCAAGGTAGTACAAACCATCACGTTCTTTTAGCAAATCCAATCATCTTCTCCAAGGTTCGATCTTAAAAAACACAATGAGAATAAAAAAAAGGTTATTTTGCAATGGAGATCTTTAGTGATTTTATGAATAGAGATAAGATTGGTGGAAATTTTTGGGATATGAAGGACATCTTTAAAGGGAACTAAAGGGTTAAGAAGTAGGTCGCCTTGTCCAAGTAATTTCAATAGGGGAACCATCGACTACGAGTGATGTTTTGATTTCCTATAGTGGGTTTGTATGAATCAAAAAGAGTGACATTATGAGTCATATGGTCGGTTGCCCTTGAATCTACAATCCATCTCCCAAATTGCTTAGTATTTGATGCATTAGAAGAATTAGTCATAAGACACATACCAAATTTGACAAGAGAACAAGAACTCGATTTGTCGAGTGAGTCAAGGAGACATCTCAATCTTTCTATATCTTCCTTGTTGAACTCTGTGAAATCTTCCTTGTTTGGTTTTGTAGCTTCAAGCATTGTCTCCTCTTTATTTGCCATGTTAGCCCGACTTTGTGCTTGGCCTTTGAAACCTTTAGTCCGTGCCAAAACTTGTGCCTTGCCATGCAACTTAAAATAGTCGTCACGTGTGTGACATGGTTTATTGCAGTAAGTACACCATAATTCATCCTTATTGGATGGTTTCTTTGATTCATCGGGTTATGGATTATGATTCCCCTTATTTCCTCCTCCAAGTCAGCGAGACACCATTACCGAAGCCTCTTGTGTATGAGGTTCCAACATGATACCTCAACAGCCTTTCTTCACCACCAACAATTGAGAAAATCTAACGAAGAGTTGGTATTGGGTCCTTACCAAGAATCTAAACTCTAATATGATAATATTCTACATTTAATCCCGATAGAAATTCAAATACCCTATCATGCTTGAGAAATTCTTACACGGCACTAGTGTCATGGCTGCACTTCAGTTGTAGGTCACGGTTGTGATCAATTTCCAACCATAATCTAATCATCCGATTATAATCCAACCATAAGACCCAACCCGAATTTTCAATTTGTAAATCAAAGCAGTATCCTTCTTTTTGGAGTAAGTTTGTTGTAGATTCTCCCATATGGCATTTGCTATGTTAAGGAACATTAGATTCTTACTAATCTTTAGTTTCATTGAATTCCATAACCATGACATGATCATCGAGTCTTCCTCGTCCCATGCTCTAAATCCCGGATCCTTCACGGATGGGTCGGCATCGGTGAGATGACCTATCTTTCCATACATCTTAAGAAATGTACCAACCACCTGACTCCATTGTAGATAGTTTGTTATATCAAGGCGATAAAATAGGTTCATATTCGAAAATCATTCCTAGTTCTCGTGGTGTTGACAATTGTTGATGTGACCCCAAATTCGTCAATAGCGACCATAGTGGAAGGAGTAGAGGAAGATGACATACTTTCAAAGAAAAAATAAATATAGTATCAGCAATGAAGGCTGAGAAAGGAAAGAGAAAAAAAAATTATGATAGCAATGAAGGTTATCGACGGTAGTAAAGAGGGTCGGTTCTATCGGTAGCCACGATTCTTGGCAATGAAGGCTTGAAAAATTCCCTATGTTTCGACCTAGTGCTCGATACCATAAAGATTTTCTCGATAATCTTTTTTCTTATAAACAAAAATAATTACATTAGTATTTAGAGGAGAATACAAACCCTAATGACCCATAGAAAATAGGAAACTAACTAATAAAATAGGAAGCTAACTAATAAGGGAAAAACTCCTAAAATTAAGGTCCAAAAAATATACAATCTGCTATAATCAACAGTTAGAATCTAATTCAAGAGTTTATTTAGTAGTGATAATCTAAGGGAAAAATCGGGTAATAGAACTTGTTGTTGCCTAGGATCAATAACTCTATTTAAAAAGGTAGAATAACGTTATGATTGTTTATGTCCATTGCTTGAGTGGGTGGAAATTGAACCAAGAGCCAAAGTCTTTGATTTGATTATCTTCTTTTTAAATTTTTTGTTTGTTTAAATTACAATAAGTTACCTACGAACCAAACCCCCTTATTTATTGTATTTTGTCAAGTCGATTTCGTTTTCATTGAACCATCATAATAATTTGAAAATAAATATTAATCAAGTCATTCTTTATGGGATCGATCCTTTCTCATCCTATCTATAGTTTTGTAATTAGGTTTAGTAAGAATTCAATTAATTTGGAGCATTTGACACACTACCAAATTTTAGCGTCGTTGCCATAAAATTACGTCTGATCAATTATTATTATTTTTTATTCTAGTTGTTTCTATCTATTTAAGGTTCTCCATGTTATTATTAGTATTTAATAGATTCTGGTTGTTTAATATCTTTTGCATAATTTATAGTTTGTATTTATTTTTTATTTTTGGCTATTACTATTCACATTAACTTTTGCGGTTGAATTAGGTGACGATCCTTTAATCAATATTTAAGGAAAGGACAATTTTCACATGACTAGTCAATCTTTTGTATTCACTAGCACGACCCTCTCATAGCCTAATTTCATTGTTTACTAGGATTTTAAGCCATTTTTATGTTTTTTTTTTTTTGAAATTTTAATTTTAGTTTTTCTTAACTTTTTGTTTGTTACTAATTATTTTGTGAGTTTTTATAGTTTATGATTTGATCCTCTCATATAGGTGACTTGAATTTTGATCTAGAACTTGAGAGGACTTTGCATAGATTAAGGAAAGAGTCTAGGCACGTTTCAATAGAATCCGAAACATCGACTATTATTTCCTCACCGAGAATCAACATAGCCCTTGAATTTCTATATGAGAGTTCTTCTAGTGATTTAGAAGAAGCAAAAGTCATGGCTATAAACAGAATTTTAAAGGATTTAGTCTGCTCTTTCTTTGTAAATATAGAAGTAATTGAAGCTAATGAAAAAGATGAGAGTGAATATATATCAAAATCAACCGAGGGAGAGGAAAATTTAGGAAATGATTGTGAAAGTTGTAAATAAAGATTAATTTTATTTATTGTATTTATTAAATTGTATCGTTTTATTTGTTATGCTTTTTTTAGATGTGTTAAATTTTAGGTAGGTGGCATCACTAGTAATAAGAGAATATCCAATTTATAGAGGAGACCATATCAATTTTTTTTTATGAAAACAATTTATAATATATATTTTTAATAGAATTTTATTTATTTGTTGTATTTGTTAAACTATTTTAGGTGTTCTTTTGGAGTTATGTCACGTGGATTACGCAGATCCGGTCATGGTGGCAATGGTCATGACTTTAATGGTGGTAGTATCCATGGTCGTGACACTAATACTAGTAGTGTTTATGGTTGCGCCACCGATAATGGCACCGTAATCGGCCATGGCACTAGTAGTATTGGTGTCCGTGGCCATATACTTGATAGTGGCATCGGTATATCTCGTGGAGGTCCCTATAAATGATTTCCTCAACTCTAGAAAACTTTACTAAATTTTATATCGAATGGACCATTCGGATCGTCAATAATTAGTAAGTAATATGCTTTACATATGGTAATTAGTTTTATATTTTCATATATTATATTAGAATCATTAATTTGCTTATTTATTACTTATTTATTTTTTTCAATAAATTAGTTCCATCAAGTAAGTGCTCCACAAAAATCACCACAATTTTTAAGGAATAATTGGACCTCGCTAGCTCCATATAGAAGTCTATCTCTATGAAAATGAAAGACTTTTACTTTAACGAGTTTAGGATAACATTTTAATTATTAATTTATATTCTACCTAAAGTATTAATTTAATATTAAATGTACTAATATTATTTTTTTCTTCATGTAGAAGTATTTTTTGGAATACGTGGGAGAGTTTGGCATAAAGGTGGTATAACAACATACCGAATATGTTGAAGAAAAAGACAAACAAACCCATGTTTATTACACAACGTGCATAGGATGCATGGTATCAAGATTAGGCCACACCCGATTTTCAAGTTTGATCTTAGTAGGCATCCCAAAATCGCATGTCGAAGATAGGTGGTGTTGGCGCTAGCTCATCCAAGCATGGGGTTCATATCTTTGATTGAGCACACTAAAGATTTGGTAAATCATATTATTCTATGTGTTATAAATTAATTTTTACATTTATTACATCTCATACTATTTTTTTCATCATAATAAATTAGGTTGTAACCCAAATTCTTATGAGGTGTTCCCGAACACTTCGAAGCAAAAAAATGGGTCATTCATCAATAGGTGGTCCTAGACAATGATGGTAATTTTTTTATTTTTGTATATATATATATATATATATATATATATATATATATATATATATATATATATATATATATAATCTAAATATATATTTATAATTTAATATTATAACTATTTCAATAATGTAGGAGCTCATCCAATCATTAAAAGAAGTAGTTGCTAAGGAGCAATAGAAGGATGATTCATTATCTTCAAACATGGATATGAAAAATTTTGATGTTATAGGAGAGAAGAAGTAGAGATTTTACAGACCTCAAATCACAAGCATCCCAAGTATTACTCTCATTCTAATGTTAGCTCCTCCTATGCGACTTCATGGTATCTTGGTGGTAATAAATATAAGGTTACCGTTCAACAAAAAGATAGGAACAAAGGGGTGGAGGTTACAATCTAAGAATAGGTGGATAAATTCAACACTCTATAGATTCGGATGGAGATAATGATGGAATTGTTACGAGATCTATAACATACTTCGTTCCTCCTATCGACCCTCCTATAATCTAAGAGTCAACCGTTCCACTCAATACCTAGTAGCCGGAAGATGATACAAGAGATGATGATGATGAGGACTAGATTTTTTTTATTTTAAAAAAAGTGCATTTATATATTTATTTGATTTTAATTTATTTAATTTTAATTATATTAAATAATATATCACATTTTAATAATGTGTTGTTTTTAGTTATTTGTTAATACCATTAACATTAAACAACCATTAATTTATAAAAAAATTCCTTCATTTAGTGATAGAATAGGGACTCGAATTTACAATAAAAATTAAACCTCTTTACGACGGACGCATATATGCTTGCTAAATAGCTATGAATATAGAAACAAATTTAGGAGGAATTTTAATGAGTAAGATTTAACGACATCAATTCTATCGCTATTAGCAACAAAAATAAAGGTAATAGCGATGGTTTTGCGAGTGAATACTAGACTTGAAAGACGATTATTTGCTTCGATTTAGTGATGAAAGTTCTACACATTAGTGATGGAATTTTTTTTTGTCATTATAGAAATAACGACAATCTGTTTTAGTCGTTGAATTGATATTATTGCAAATACATCGATAATAGTAAATAGTGACTAATTTTTTATTATTTTCTAGTTTTCTTGTAATGAGACCTAAAATTTTGTCGACTATTTTTTGGTTTTCTTGTAGTGAGACCTTTAAAGGAAGAAATGAGAATTTCACATCTTTAAATGTCCGGAACATAAAAGAGGCCATTTTAAAAAATCAAAGTTGATATTTTAACCTTTTCATATTAGATTTAAATGAATAAATCCATTCTATTTTGGGCTATCAAAGTCGGTTACAAAGTTAGGGAAAAAATTAGATTAT